CAACACAGCACAACCACTGCTTCACTGAAAGTTCTTAATGACATCGTTGAAGCACTGGATGCTAAGGATTATTGTGCTACACTTTTCTTAGACCTGTCTAAAGCTTTTGACACTGTGGATCATAACATCTTGTGTCATAAACTCTCAGAAATTGGTTTCTCAGAACACACCAGTGGTTGGTTCTCTAACTATCTTTCAGACCGGAGGCAATGTGTTCAACATAATGGTACTTCCTCCAGTTATTTAACAGTCAACAATTGTGTACCACAAGGCTCAGTCTTAGGACCCACCCTCTTTACAATCTACATACATAATGTAGGTAAAAACATCCCTAATGCATCCATACATTTCTATGCTGATGACACAGTTGTTTATTGTTGAGCTAAAACTGTTGCTAAGGCTTTCCAGCTTTTGACATATGCATTCTACTACATCCAGACAGATTTGTTCTACCTCAAACTTGTCCTAAATGCCGACAAAACCAAAGGGACGCTTTTTTCAAATGGGAAGTTGGTCCCAGCAATTCTTCCTCCGATTTTATCCTCAAATGGTGTCCCCATTGAGTTTGTTGATTCCTATAAATATTTGGGTATCTTGGTCGACTCACATCTCTCTTTTAAGCTCCACGTGGAAAACTTGGTAAAGAAACTGAAAGTTAAACTGGGTTTCTTTTTCAGAAAAAGATCCTGTCTAACCCTGAATGCTAGAAAACAACTTGTATCTGCGACTTTCCTTCCCTCCATTGATTAAGGGGGCATTATTTACATGAACGCTCCTACAAGAACCCTGTAGATGTTGGATGCTGTCTATCATGGTGCACTAAGATTCATAACTGGCTGTGATTATCGTACCCACCACTGCACCCTGTATTCACTGGTTAACTGGACATCATTAATTTCATGCAGACTCTCTCACTGGTACATTTTCATCTTTAAATCACTTCTTGGTCTGCTGCCTTCATACATCTCCTCCTACATGTCTCTGCGTGAGTGCAGCTACGGAGTGCACTCTCAGGACATTATTACCTGCAATGTTCCCTCAATGAGGACTGAACTAGGCAAAAGGGCCTTCTCCTACTCTGTTCCTATTTCCTAGAATATCTTACAAAAATATTTGAAGCTCTCGACCTTGACCTCTCTAAGTGGCTTTAAGAATCTGTTGGACTCCTGGCAGGGACCAATGCAGGCATGTTCTTGTTTTTAGTTTTCTACATTCGCCTTAGAATCTAGCTGTTTTTTTGTTACCTTTTTTTTTCTTTTAGCCATCCTATTTGTAAAAAAAAAGAAAAAGAAACTGCAGTATGACTTTTTATAATTGTTTATTGTTGTTGCTGTTGTCCATTGTTGTCATAATTTTTTGTTGAAATCAGGTCTCTCTTGTAAATGAGTCCTCAAGGCTCAATGGGATTACCTGTCTAAATAAAGGTTGAATGAAAAATGTTCATGTTGTTTCAGGATAAATCCCCAGTGAGCCACCATATTGAAACCTTTCTTGGATCCATCGGTATAGAGGGTACATTCATTTGGTTTTGGTTCTACAGGTGCTCCTTTTGTCACTTTTTTGTCAGCCAGTTGTGCAGGTCCTATCTCCTGGTCAGGATCTAGCAGGATGTCTTCTTCCCATCTTCCCCATCGTGTGTTTGTGGCTTTAGTGCTCTCTAACATTCCTTTTCTGAGCTATTTGTGCACTTGGCTTTGCCTGATAACTTTGATTGGTTGTCCCTGAGCCAAATCTTTCAGCGTTCCCCAGTATTTTGCAAGCACTGCTAATTATTTTTCTTCCTGGGAGAACTTCTTCTCTACTGAGGTCAAGGTGTAACTCCAAAGAGTTACTAGTCTGCCATTGTCATTTTTAACTTTGATCATAGCATCATCATCTTCACACCTGACTTCAGCCACTAGTTTTGTCATTAGGCTTCTTGGTTCTAGTCTTACTGCTTCTTGAATTTTCTTTTTAAGCTCTTCCAAATCTTTTGGATTTGTAGTAGTCCAAACCCCAAGTTAATTTGTTTCTTTGTTCATCTTCTTCTCCCTTCTTCCTTAGGGAAGCATACAACAGTCTGGCATATTTTTGATAGTTAGGGACATGATCTCTCACATAATTACACAGTTCCAAGATTTTCTGCAAGTCATTTTCAGATTCAGGAGGTTGTCCAAAGAATGCCCCACATTAGGCGCCATGTTTTTCTACCCAGCGGGGTTACCACATGAGTTACAGCTTACCCCACTGAAACCTCTCATCTAAGGGGTATCATAAACTAAATCTAGCACTTGAGTATTACCCAGAATTACCCTAGTTTAGCTGTATTTAAGGCTGTGTTGATGGTGACTCACCCAGATTTGTTAACAACCTCCATCTATGAGTCACACCTTTATCTCACCCCGTGGCTTGTCCAACTTAGCAGCTGGAGTTGGATCATCATCCACAGGGAAACTCACATTCCACGGTCGCTCACCTTTGGTTATAGAACAGCTATTGTTACTGATCTGGTAATTTTCAGAATCTAGCATAAGATTCTAGGATGTTGTTTAATCAAAGCTAAGAAACCTTTAAAACCTCCCTTTTTGTTAGAATTGAACCAAGCTTCTCTAAACCATAAGCACGAAGTGATGAAATGATAGTCCTGAGTTTTACATTTTATGCTTTGCTTTAATTAATGATTTGCAGGGGAACAGCATTATTAACACAATCCAAAATGATTACATTCAATTATTCAATAAAATCTGTGATAAAAAGCCCATATATAGTTCCAGGGAGAGTCCTGTTGGCCAAATTGGATGTCCAGAGGATTGGAAGTCCTCTAAAGTGGTGATTTCCTAGCTCCGATGAGCTGAGTTAGGGAGTCATGAGTCCTGGAGCATAGGTGGTCCCCTAAAAAGCAACCTTCTATCCCTGGTGTGGACTGCTATGCATTTGGAGTCCCAAAGCGTATTAAGACTCCCAAAACCCCTAAAATTATCCAATGAGCCAACAAGACTTCTAACCAAGCTGTTATAATCAACCTTAACAACACACAGTTTATATGATACCTTTTCAAGAATGCCATAATCAGGACACTACTCTCTTAATCTAATCTCTTTACTTAGTAATAGAATAATTGCTACTATTTTGTATAAAATTTAGCATTTGAACAATATATCAGGGGTCGCTTACCATTTCTATCCAAAGACCTCTTGGGTAATGGTAAGTGAATTCTTACCATTCCTCCAAAGCCCTGGAAGAAATCACCCTTGGCCCCAAGAGCAGTTCTAATCCTGAAGGGTCTGGTCTGGCATCAGCCCAGGCTGAACTAAAGAGTATTCCTATCTTGAGGAAAATAAGTTCCTTTTTGAGCTGTCCAAATCCCTCTGAGTGGCTCCTGGGGCAAAATCAATATTGTCCTGTCACGTCAATGTTGTGGTCCATTCAGCACTACTCTGTAGCTGCATCTGGTTTCTATAGACAGCGGATTTGGTCAGAAGCAGTTTGAACAAGTCCTTAACGTACTGTTTCTGGTGTAACCCCCTGATTGATTTCAGCACTTCAAAGCAGTATTTGTTTCTCGGAACCTAAGGAGACAGCCTGTTCTTTAAAACCATGTCCTTTTAAGGTGTGGTTAGTACCATCCTGTTTCCAAGCATTATTTTAGTCACCCAGCACATGAGTTACATTTCAACTTGAATTTTGTACATCTTTTTTCTTATAGTATTTTAGTAATTATTAACAACAATCACACTCTTCCTAATTGCATGTTTACTCTGATTTTTAGCATGTGAGTGCTAATTTTTATTATTCACAAAGAGGAGCAATCCTTACTTGAGCTGTAACTTTGAGCATATACACAGACTGTTCAAAGCCTAGAAGCAGAGACTACTTCTGTACATACATCCGCGTCAGGCCTCCCTTGTGTTTGTCATGCTTACATAGCCTGGGGGCCCTTGGAGGTTCGGTTGTCATGCTTTATGCCCAGAGGCTTAAAGCCTAGAAAAAGCTGAGAGTAACTGTTGTTTACATACCTACTCGAAAAGCCTCATGTTTATACAAGCTTGGAGGTTCATTCATCATGCTCAGATACACATTAAATGGAGAATCACAAGATCAAGAAATATATTTTTAATCTATCATAATTTCAACATACAGTTTTACGCTATTCTTATCACAGAATACAATTGGCTGTGGCTGAGTGGTTAGAGCAGTCGTCCTCCAATGTAGGAGTTGGGGGTTCGAATCCACCAGTAGTCACATGCCGAAGTGTCCCTGGGCAAGGCATTGAACCCCTCATTGCCTCCGATGTGTGTCCCATTGACATATGAATGTGATCTAAAGTACTGATTAGTCTCTTTAGAATGATTTGTTCAATTAACTTTGTAGAAACCTAGTATAGTGCTGTGTGAATGGGTAAATGAGGACACAGATTGTAGTGTAAAGCGCTTTGAGTGTCTTGATCAGATAGAAAGGCGCTATATAAGTATAGTCCATTTACAGTCCATTTACAATTTTAATTTATCGTATTGTTTCTTGTGGGAAGGGGACGATTTCATCAAATGTGACTTTACTTGACAGAGGTTTTGAACGATTCCTTAGTTTTGGAATTTTGTAACAGTAGCCCAATGTGGCC